CAGCGGCCACTGTGGCAACAATTCATGTTAGAGAGCAGTTGTAACATTAGGGCACAGCAATAATAGATATACAGCAATACCTACAGTTTGCTAACATTAGCAACTGGTCATACAAAGTAAGGCTGTTGCAGAAGGTCCTCTGAGTGTATTGAATCATTTAAAAGTATGTTTCATTGCTTATGAGTTCAAGTTTTCCATTTCCAAGAGTAAGCACGTGTTCTTTCGTCTTTGAAAATCTTAGATGTGATAATTTATTCAAGCACCAACACAGAGAGAACATTTCAAAATCAAAAATGACGTGTGTGATATGCGTGCAGGCAGGGAACGTTTATTTATATACAGCAGCACAGTTGGCAACGAGTTAACTGAAATAACTTTACATAAAACATCAAAAGCAGAGACACAAAGTGCAAAAATAAACACATTATAAGCAGTGGTGTAAAGTTACTAAGTACATTTACTCAGGTACTGTACTTAAGTACAATTTTGAGGGACTTGTACTTTACTTGAGTGTTTCAATTTGTCTACTACTCCACTACAATTCAGAGGTAAATAGTGTTCTACTCCACTACATTTATATAATACCTTTAGTTACTGTGCTGATTTAAATTAATGGTGTGAAATATAATCAACACTTAAAAAATACTTAACCTGACACCTGGAGTAATATTTACGATCTACCCTGCACCTTTACCAGCTTTGATAACCCTTTATTGCATCAATAATGGTAATCTAAATTTATAATATATTCTATTCCAAAACGGGCCATGCGCATAAAGAGTACTTTTGCTTTTGGTAGTATATTTGGTTTCTAATACATATATACTTTAACTTGGGTAACATTTTGAATGCAGGACTTTTACTTGTAACAGAGCATTCCTACACTCTGGTACTTTTACTTAAGTACAAGATCTGAGTACTTCTCCCACCTCCGATTATAATAGGACATTTAAATACAACTAATAAAAAGTTAGTTCAGAGCAAAGAGGATAGACGTTACAAAAAGCTCAAATAGAACAAGACGGGTATAAAATAAAATGAATAATTATTTGATTTGTGTGCACATAGGAGTATGCATGCTCGAATGTAACAGAGGCCTTGAATATTTCTATGTTTGTGAGTGCAGGGTTGGCTGCCTGCAGTGGGACAGAGGTGTTGGTGGGTGAGCAGAAGGAGACGGCAGCAGAGAAAGATGGAGGGGAAAGAGAGAGTCCCTCAGGCGTGTCCGGGCTCTGATGGCTCCCCTGACAACCTCCTCTGTAATGGTCTCCCTCTCTCTCTGAGTGCTGTGAAATTGCAGGCCGGCGCTCTACAGCTGAGGACTCGGAGGAGACAAACGGCCTTTTAATTCAGAGCGCAGAGAGGTGACGGAGAGGGAGGCCCGAAGGGAGGGCTACCAGTCAGACATCCATCATACTAACCTCTCCCTTGGGACTGGCCCTGCCAAAGAGGGGGGCCCTGGAGGTGGTCTTGAGCGTACATGTGTGGGAGCGTGCACGTCTTTGGGGTTGGGGTGACACCGCATGCATTGAATGGCTTCTGCAGGAATAGAGGAGGAGGAGGCGGGGGAGGCAGAGGCGGGGGAGGCGGTCTGCTCAGGTGTCCAGGCTGTCAAGGTGCACAGTGGAGGGGAGGTGGAGGTAGATTTCTTTTCTCCATGTCTCACATTTATCTATATGCACCTTTTTTTTTTTAGATATATATTTCTATCTTCTCATTTTCCCTTCATGGCTTCATTTCAGCTCCCAGTGCACAGCAGCTACTACAAATAACAAGCTACTTCTCTAAAAAGAAGGTTGTTTCTTTCTGTGTTTTCAGATATTTCCTCAAATCCAATTACTACAAACATTAACCTTTTATTTCTGTCATCCTTCGTGTGCAGATTCTGTCGGAGCACATACTGAAGGGACACCGAGGGTTCAGGGTTTGTGTGTATCACGGTATTTCTACTCTCTTTGCATTACTAAATAAAAAATCATTGAGGAATACAGAGCAGTGCAGCTGCAGAGGTATTTCATGAAGGCCTCTTAGCAAAGAAAAGGCAGAGATGCTTAGATGTTGTACCTTGAAAAATACGTGTTGTGATGCTCTGCATGCTCTCAGCAAACCGTTGCAGGGGTAAACTAACAAAGCCTCTTTCCCCTAGAATAGATAAATAAATAAATATGAAGAGTTTTCTGCAATTTATAAAATAGTCATCAAAAATATGATTGTATATTTTCATTGCTTAATGAATCCTATCATTTCGGCTAGAAGGCTTTCACATGAATGTGTTGAATCCTAAAATGTTATCCAGGGTATTGATGTTTAAGCTTTATTTTCAAATGTAATAACAATTTTTATTTGGAAAATGTCTGTTATTTAAATGAAATTACTCATAGGTTGCTTACAAAAAATGTGAGTCATAGGCCTGTTTCTATTAGTTATGTGACCTGCGGGGAATATATCCTATGCAATAAGCAAAACACCGTTTTTATCAGGTTTCTTTAATGCTATGGAATTGTCTAATCAGTGTGCTCATATATTATGATAATGCAATGCATAAACCATGATGTGGTATGTTTTGCTCCACTAAAATAACTATTCTTTAAGGGATAGGGTGGTTTACAAACTTCTGCAGATGCCTTTAAGTCAACAGAACTCTATAGGAATGAGTATCAAAGGGAAATAAATGACAGTCCTTGAAGGAAAAGGCTCTAGAATTGTTTTCCAAAATTGATTTTGTCCCTATAGCAGGATGAAATGCCATGCCAGGGTCAAGATAAGAGTTTGCAGTCAACATGTCAGAATGCATTGAACATACATTAAACAGGGTGTAAATAGAAGAAAGTATAAGCTATGTGTGATCACATAGGCCATAATGTATGATGTCCCCATTGAAAAGAGAAAAGCCTGTTGCTGTCCTTGGTGCTTCGTGCTTTTGGTACCACGGACAGCTCCTTTTTTTTTCACAGGTGAGGGGTTAGGGTCGTGTACACAGCAGAGCAAAGCAAAAGCAAACAGGTTTTTTTTTTTCTTCTATGCACAATGCAAAAGGGCTACATTCATTCAAACAAGAGATGATTGGACATTTGCCTCACATGCTCGCTTTCCCACCGTTTTCTCCTGAATACCACCCCCCTCCTTTTTTTTGTCTCACCCTTGTTGTACAGGCTAAAGGGCGCTGTGTTAGGAGCTCGGATAATTGAGGAAACTCATTCAGGCTTGTCTCTACAATACACAGGTTAAACCACTGCTACCTGCAGCATACATCCACACTTGGTGTTCTGGGTGTCATTTTGAGATAGAAAAACAGTAATTATGTACCACAGCTGAGAAATTGAGACTTCTTTTAATGGGTCTGCAACCGAAACATTTTTGGGATGCACAAAAAGGGGCAAAAACAGCCAATTAATTTGGAAAATTATGAATAAAAAGAAAAGATGGTAGAACAGTTGATGGCCATTACCTGTTTTCTTCTTTCAGATGTCAATGTGCCCTTCGGCAACACAAGCACACGTTGACGTAGGTGCTTTGAGTATGTATGGAAATGGGAAAAAAAGTCAGAAAAAAAAAGTTTTGCCAAATAATATAATGGATTTATAATGCATTTATACTGCATTTATAAGTCCTTTTATCCGGCATAACTGTAATTAATAATAAATCAAAGAGGTATAAAGGACTTAAAATATATAATATTGACTCATTACAATTTGTCTATTTACCCTTTTTATTGCATTTCCTTCATCTCTTATAACTACCAGCTGTTGTTTATCTGTTCCTCTCTAAATGTTGTCTTGGATGACCTATAATCGTTTAAAATGAGTCAAAATTCACACCTAATGTTATTGAAATGAATCATCATTACCATGGAAAGAAAAAAATGCTTCTCGGCCGCATCCACTAACATGAATTAGCGTATTGCATGTTTGCTTAACTGCGAACTAACAAAACGAGCCTGTTGGTAAATATTGAAATTCCCTTCGATTGGTGGCCACTCTGTTAAAGCACCGGGTGACCAGGCTCTCCCCATTGATGAGCTCCAGCTAATCCATCGCATTTCCCTGTAAATAGCTTTCTGCATGAGAAAAGGCCCGCGGCCCCTCCTCTGCAGCCTGCACAGCCTCAATGTGATGCAGGAGCGTTTTGTCACAAGGCCATTATGAGGTTGTGTAGCATTAGCCCTTGTTCGGCTACTCCCATTCCCATTGCATCTATTCACATTCATCTCTGTGGCAGCAACGTGCCATTTAAACGCCTATCGTACAGGTATTTCCTAACCTTCCTCGTGTTTTGTGGACTTTCGAGTTGAAAGTCCGATCAAAGATGTTACAGGGGGGATCTCGGGTGGCACTAACTGATGCGTTTTTCCTTATAAAGTCAGTGGTGTCTCTGTGCCCCACCATGGAACCTTCCACATGCATGCCTGGCCCTGTGTTCCTGTGTGTGATGCAGGTTCGCTCCGAGGCTTCAGCTATGAACGTGTAACCATAACAACTGTGTTCTGATTGGCTCTCCTGCCACGGGAATTAACGAGGGCGTTATCCAATGTGAGCGCTGGCAAAACCTCGTGATAACCACAGCCACAGTGATGAGAAAGTGGCGGCGCGAGGTGAGCCCGTAAGGAAATGACTGGACCCAAAACAAAGCATGAGCGAAGGGATGAATTATTAGAAATAAACGCGTTTGAATAATGATGTTTTAACTGAGTTGGCGTGAGAAAACATGTCCGGTTTGTCCATTACCCAGTCCATCAGCTGGCGCAGCTGAAGCCTCTCGTCCTCTCTTTTGGGTTGTGGATTGTGACAAGTGCCAGGACAGCAGCAGAACAGGACCAGGACTAATACTACCCTTCTCGGGGATTGTCCCTCTGCTGCCTTTCAACGGGAGGTTCCTCCACTTTTCGCCTGACAGCCCACCACCCGGAGCCAAGACGTTGTTCCCCGTAGACCCGGGTTGCCCCAGTCCGAGCAGCGCAGTCCGTGTGGGCAGGTCGGCACTCGGTGTCCTGCAGGCCGGAGACATGATGGCACACTGTGCCGGCTGTGAACGGCCCATCCTGGACCGGTTCCTCCTCAACGTGCTGGACCGAGCCTGGCACTCCAAGTGCGTCCAGTGTTGCGAGTGCAGCTGCGCCCTCTCCGAGAAGTGCTTCTCCAGGGACGGGAAGCTCTATTGCAAAACTGACTTTTTCAGGTACCGAGTCTGGATTCAAAGTTATTTAATATGTGCTCTGACTCCCGTCTTTACTCACAATACTTTGATTTAGGGTCAATGTTTCCAGGGGTACAAACAATTAAAAGATAAGAGGAATACAAAAACATACCAGCCTGAAAATAATTTCTGTGTGAAGGCAGGCCAAAATATCAAGTCAAGGCAAGTGTAATTATATTACCAGCAGAAGAGAGCTGCCCAAAAACCAATGTAGAAGTGTACATTATTTATTTAAATAGCAGGCTTTTAAAATAAATGATCAGTCGTGTATTTTTGGCCTTTTAAAATGGGGCCTCTACAACAAAACAACTAACATTTAATTTCATTGTGCATCCACGTGTATTCTGCGTTTTTATCTATTTTCCAGATCCAGACAACACTTTTTCCCAAACACCCATTAGGCTATTAACCGGTTCACAATTCCTAAAAAGTGTCTCAGGTAATTGAGTGATAAGTGAAGCCCTTGTTTGTCCGGTCGCACTCTCTTAGCATCATTTTCATTTGTATGTGTCAGTTATTTTCGCCCAAATTGTCTAATGACATGTAAGACATTAGCCTTTGTCCGGACGGGCTGTTATTGGCCTCGCACGGCCTTGGCCATCATATTAGCGCAGGTCCCATCAAGCGGTGGATTTAAATGGCCAGCCATTAGCCAGGCGAAACAGTAATCACCCTAATATGTCCATTTGTTGTGTAAGTAGAGTTGTGCCCTTTCGCTGGGGGAGGCTTGGCCATGCATGTGAAAGAGGGGACAGTGGAGCGATACCATTGCAAATGGAGAGACAAGCCTACATTAGTGTTAAAACAATGCTCCACAAAAGGAGTGCTTGCTTTCACCCTGAGGCTTAAGCACCCCCCGACAGGCCGGCTCAAAATCCAGGTATAACAGGCCTAAAGAGAGCCAACATCTGCCTTTAAACTCTTCATATTAGTAAAAGCATTAATGCAGGTGATACACACTCACTGAATAAGTCTTAATAATACTCAGGTGTGATTTATTTCACCCCTTTCCTCCATTATGCAAATACAAAAGCAGTCCTTCCAAATCAGGGGGGGGGTATTCTGCAGAATTTATTTTTGGGTTATTTGTGTATCAAATTGATGAGTCTTCCCACTCGGTATTTAAGCGGGTGAATATGGATTAAGAGAAGATTTTCACGCTAAGATGCTCCTACTCTGCTTAATCCTATAATATATCCGTGGCTACAATGTGTTGATTGTCACTAATACGTTTTGCGTGGGGTTATTGTCAGAGCACCTCCATCAAAATAATGAGCATGCGTTTTCTCTCGATCCTCAATATAAAAAAGGCAAAGACTGATTTTTTTCCTATTTTATTTCTTTCGTTTGAACGCGTCTCCGTCGCTACTAAAATTGTTCCCAGAAGATAGAGACAGGTGACATGCGTTTGCTTTTTTGTTTATTGTGAATGGTTGTTTACTTATTACTAAATACATATACTTTACAAAAATATTGAATAGTACTGCTAATGTATTATTATACGGACTTTTACTGGAATCATGAGAAGCATTGTCTAAGCATTGTTTTAGTGTTAAAATATATATTATTATTATTATAATTATTATTATTATTATTGCAATTATTATCATGCTGTTATTATTACTCTGTGCTGGTATGTGCTATTATAATATTTGGCTAGAAATAAAAACAGTTTTAGCATTATTATATTTTGGATTGTGTTAATAATGGCCTATTTGTAAGTGTTAGTGCTGGAACTATATATTCCTACCAAACTATTATGATATAATTATCACATCTTATTATTACTGATATGGTTATTTGGAGAAAATCAAGGCTGATTTTTAAAATCATGTCTTGTCCCCAACAAGGGCTTTTTGCGCTTCTTCTGTCATAATTTTGTGTGGGCCTTAACTCGATGCAATCTCGCTTTTGTATTTAATAACAAAAAAACAACATATATTTGACATTATTTTTCGTTTTTTGCAGGCGGTTTGGCACTAAATGCGCGGGCTGTCTGCAGGGCATCTCTCCAAACGACCTGGTCCGCAAAGCGCGCAACAAAGTGTTCCACCTGAACTGCTTCACCTGCATGGTGTGTAACAAGCAGCTGTCCACGGGAGAGGAGCTTTACGTGATAGACGAAAACAAGTTTGTGTGCAAAGAAGATTACGCCAGCTCCGGGGCCATTAAGGAAGTCAACTTGAACTCAGGTAATCAACGCGATAATAAGCCGTGATCAGTGTGTGTTCGTCTCTTTTTCCATCTCAAATCGCCTTGTTCTGGACAAATAAATAAATCCACATCTGATAAATAGAATTGGCTTTTGAATGGAGGAAAATATGATGGAGCCTATAATGTCCCGTCATATTCAGTTTTTTGTTGAACCTTTGCTTTGTCCGTGGAGAGCATTTCACAACAACCTTGTCAGATGATTGGTTTCAATATTTGCCTTCCGCAGGACAATGGCTTTCTATTATTGTACACCAGGATCCGCTGGGGATGACGTTAGTGTGTCCGTGTGTGCAGCTCCTCTTCCCGCAGTCTATTCATCCCCATCCCGCCTGTGCATTCAGACTGACGCTCCTTTATCCTGAACGGCCCAAATGTGCACATAGACGTATTTGTGTGTGATATTCAATCATGTGCAATGTAGCCTTCTGTATGTATTTAATCAGAAATAGTCTTCAGTGATATATTTAACAAGCTATTTTATGAAATCTGCAAATACCTTCAATAAGTAATAATAATAATAATAATAATATAATATTAAGCTTAATTTGCAGAAATTGCAGTCCAACGCTCATCTCAGCCACAGAAAATGTATAATACCAATAGAAGACATACATTGAGCATAACAGAGACGTTGAATAGCCTATAACATAGAAAAAAATGTAACATGGGTAATGTAACTAAAAGGTGCATTAAAAAGAGGATAGTGCACATTCACAATCAAGTAGGGGGGAAATCTCACCCATGTGCCTTTTTTCTGACAGTTTTCAATGAAATATGACACATATTTTGAATGCATATTTTGTAGTGTTGCCGCTGTGCATCTCCAAGCCTAATTAAAAAAACACCCCCCCTCCTCCTGCGTGACATTTCGGATCGTGACCTTCCTCTTGTTTGTTTGCCCCTCAGTGTCGTCGTGTACAGATAGGAGTTTATCGCCGGATCTGCAGGACCCAATACAGGACGACATAAAAGAGACGGACAATTCCACGTCCTCTGATAAGGAAACGAACAATATTGAGAATGAGGAGCAGAACTCGGGGACCAAAAGGCGGGGGCCCCGGACCACCATCAAGGCCAAGCAGCTGGAAACGTTAAAGGCCGCGTTTGTCGCCACGCCGAAACCCACCCGGCACATCCGGGAACAACTGGCCCAGGAAACAGGACTAAACATGCGCGTCATCCAGGTAGGATCAGCTGTGTGCGTAAAACTGAATGAAATAGGGGAGGGGCAGCAGAGACAAAGACAAATTAGAGACAAATTACGGATTATAAATTGCTTTTTGATTTAGCTGGAATTAACTGAGTTTTTAATTGAAGGCCTCATCATGTGTTAGAGAAATGTCAAACATAATGTGCTCTATTAGCTGCATATAGATTCAATCTGACATTATCCCCCACAAATTCCATATGTGCACGTTTTATATTGCTAAAGCCATTTTGATGGAATTGTAATCTCAAATAATAATGATACAAATATTTCTAAAATGGGGATAATTGCCTAAACACGTGACAAAGACAATCTTTGTCATCTTGCATTATAATTTGTATTTTAACAACAGTTTTATAGTAAAACTCAATCATGTGGAAGCAGTGTGTGGCCTAAAATGAGTTGTATTTCCCCACATAACAATGTAATCTCCCCTGTCTTTTATCATTTAAAGTAGCCCCAAAATATTCTACATTTCACATTTTTTTATTTGTTTTTCTACTTTTAGAATAATTCCACTGATGATTTTATTTAAAGCACTACTTTAAAAAATATGGTCTGTTCACTCCACTTTTTTGTATTCCTATAAATTCCACTCCTATTTGCGTTTAATTTCCACGTCGCTGTATACCTGCAGGCGTTCATTTATGCCCTGAAATTAAGTTCTACTAATCCAATTTACTGATATAATAAATACCTTTTTTTTTTTTTTAAAGAATGTAATTTATTTTGTGCAGACAGCGGTTCTTTTAGTAATCAAACATGTTGCACAGCCATGAAATTAGTAAAAGGTTAGTTTTGTGTTTTGCCAGAGGCAGGAGAACCTCCAAACATGATTTGCAGTTGAACACAAACACACACTGTTTTGGACCCTGTCTGCCTTTTTCACCCTCAAACACAAATACACACAAACACACAGAAACACACACAGTGTCTGAGTTGCAGACTGTGTCAGGATGATTAGCACCATCTCTGCCAACTGTGATGTGGCTTTTTGTGCACTCACTGTAATTATCGCTGATTTCACAGATTTACATACCACCCTCCCCTTTCCCACCTCTCTGCTCTTACTCACTTGCAGCCTGTTCCCACTGCATATCAGAGCAGACCAGGGCCTCTCCAGAGCCCCCTCTATATCATATACTGCAGGCTGCTGTGTGTGCGTGTGCGTGTGTGTGTATTTGTGTGTGTTTGTGTGTGTGTGAGCTGCATCAACAGAGCTCAATCAAGCAGTCAATAAATCAATCAATCAATCAGGCAGTCCGTCCCTCCGCTGTGATCCCCACTCCTGTGTGTTGCTTGGAGCCAAAATGGAGGCTTGTGTTTCGTCATCTTCCTCCTCCTTCGCTCACTGTGTGTTAAATACCATTGCTCTCAACACGGGGAGCCCTGTGAGCCACGCTGCTTTCTCCAGCATGTGTATGTAATCCCTAAGCAACGCTCTCTCGAGGGGAGCGGGAGCATTTCCATAAAAATGTACCCTACAGTTAGACGATTGTTCTCCATAAGCAGGTGTCGCCTCTGCCGCCGGAGCACATAGAACAGCGTCTAAGTGGTTTTAGGTGTTTTTGTGTGTGTGTTTTTGCTAATCTGCAGCACAGTGGGATTTTGCCTCTGGTGTAGCCTGGCTGCGGTGAGCATACATCATTATACAGCAGTGATGCAAAGGCGAAACAAGATATGTGATGTGCTTATAATGCAGACACTCTTCCATATGGTGTGTAGTCAAATCCTCCTTTGTTCCTCTTCAAATACAGTTTATCTAGCGTTGGTGAAAAGGCTCTGATTTGAAGCTTTAGCTGTTTATTTGAATGTTACTAAGTTGCATTAGGTTGTGTGTTGGGGCACAATTGCTAATCCTCTGTATTGTGTCTTTTTATACGATCATAGATAACGCGTTTCATTTGAAACAGAACATCTTTATGAGACTTTACTCCTCTGTTTCTGAGTCTTTGATACTTTGTGCTTTCTGGAGAAATATTGTCACACTTCTATTGTGTCTATAAAAGGGTGGATTACAGGTACCAAACAATTCTGGTATAAAACTATTATGCAAATCTGATATTCTGGTTGGTTTTGACATTTTCTGTGAGCTGGAACTGCATTTGAATGGTTTACGCGTTTAGTTGAACTTTAACAGCATTAGAGGAGTTTGTTTGTGCCATTTGAATGCCAAGATCAGAGAATCTAAACCTAAAATAATGCGAAACAATACTGTAAATACATTTCAAAATGTTTACAGAGCTGTCGGAGAAGTGAGAGGATGATGAAACAGATGCACATTTATTTTTTCATAAAGAATGACTATTTTGCTTTTAAATACCAGCCCGTTCAAAGGCTTGAATCTATTACAATCTGCATTTTAATGATGCTTCATACAAACTCTGTAACAGTGAGCATGAAGTTGAACAGATCTGTGAAATGAACCAAAGTGATCAGGATTTAAATCAAGCTGATTAATATACATTTGTTTTCAATTCTGTCAGTTGTGCTTCATGTATTTTGTGTTTGTGCATGATGCAACAGACTGAATCTTGTAGTTATCAGGATCAGATTTTAAATCTTACAATGGTTTGTACTCTTGGCATGAGACAGTAGAAGCTAACAGTGATAAAGCAGTGTCATGGTGATAATCTTTTTCTTGTCTTCCTGGTTTGATGCAGGTCTGGTTTCAGAACAGAAGATCCAAAGAGCGACGAATGAAGCAGCTCAGTGCTCTGGGGGCCCGGCGGCACGCCTTCTTCAGGGGCCCGAGGAGGATGAGGCCCCTGGGAGGAAGGCTGGAGGATCCCGACATCTTAGGACCCGGGGCCTACGGTTATTACGGAGGTAAGAATGAAAGTGTTCACAAAACACGCAGGGCCTATATGTCTTAAATATACTGGGTCATTTTTGCATGATTATTGCAAAAATGTTGGGGTTCTACTTTGTTCAGCAAATGTGATCACAAAATCACCTCTATGCTGGGTTCATCCTCACTTTTATACTTGAATTGTATTTTACAAACACTGCTAATAGTTACCGTGTGAGGCTGCAGGAAGATTACATAAAGCGTATTTTTCATCCACTAAACACTGCAGATGGTATAGGCGTATTTGATTTGGAAAACAAGATGCACGTGATTTTTTTTCTTTTAAATCCATTAATCTTCTGTACACAAATGGATAATATGATCAGTCTTTCATTTGTGGGAATGCTCTGTGAAAGTTCAAGAGTTGTTTTTCTAATTTAAGTTTTTCTATAAAGATTCTGAAGGCTCGAAATAATTCTTAAACCTGCTAAATTCTCACAAACTGACTCTCAGTCCTACAGTGCTCATGCTGGAGAAATGTATTCCAATCAGACCACAGGAGGGGTGGCACATTTTACTCATTCATTGGAACTCAAAAGATCACATGTTTTTATTTATAAACATTTTTTTTTGGAATTGTCCGTTTTTGTGGGATTTAATCCTGCACTGGAAATGTCACCCTTAAGTTTTGATAAACACTAAAGCGTGCTTCAGAGCCCTTTACAGATTACAACATTTGAAAAAAAAGTCACTTCTTGAACGTCATCCCTTTTCTGCCAAGTTCTTAATTACCATGTTGAATATACATTTGCTGTGTCTTTAACAAATGATTAGGGTCAATATTTAGACTCTTTTTAAGAAAACTGAGACGTTATAGCAGGTTTATTATAAGTCTTAAAGGAAAAAAAAGCATTGCAATAATTAATAGCGAATACTTCGAGCATTAAAAGATAAATATTCGGAAGAAGAACTCCAACCAACAAAACACTGACACGCGATTTTATATTAAAATGTAATTTGCATATTACATTATAACCTTTCAGGTCAACTATAAACATCTCTCTAGCAATAACATTAGTAATAACTTTCTTTTGGCCGGCTTAGATGAAAACATGTCGAGCTTCATGTGGTGACCAGGACACATTAAAATAACTATTTGTCTGACTGACTGGCAAAACAAGCCTTTTGAATATTTGTAGCTATTACAAATTGTGAAATCATCTTTTTATTGAATTCTGGAGATAGGCTGCACCTAGTTGGCTGTTTTCCACATATTCAAATGAATTTCTGATGAAATTATAAGCATTTATTTATTTACACTGTATTTTCTATTCTTACTCAGTTGTGCTAAAAAAGCTATGCAATCTCCAGTTGGTGTAAGGACTCCTTCAAATCAATATCCCTCTAAAGAATCTCGATTGTATGCTATTAAAGCCTCAGTTGGTCAAGAAAAAAAAGACATTTGATGACAATAGCAGATGGCCGGCATGCTATAACAACAACGGCTCCACACTGAACTGCAGGAATAAATCAGATGCACCTGTCATGTATATCAGCAGTTTGTTTTTCAAGGACAGTCTGAGAGGCATGGTTTCTATACAGCTCCTGCACATCTACCTGAAAGGCCGGGGCATTGAAGATACAATGAGCTGAAGCTGTCAAGGCTGCGAGGCAGGGAGTGGGAGGGGGGAAACGTAGGACAAAACCTTCATCCCTCACTCTCCTGCTTTCTTCGCACGCTGCTTTTCACACCCTATTGTGCCGCAGCAGCAACAAGCCAGTCTGTTGGTCTCTATCCGAGCTCGCTGCCTCCTTATGTTCCTCCGCTGCTGCTTAGCGAGGCAGGAATACCTGTGTGTCTGCATGCGCGAGGGTAATTATAGTTTACAGAGCCAACACCCCCTTTCCTCAATCCCCACCCCCATCTCACACACACACACACACGCCACGCAGGCCACGAAACACACGCTTGTTGTTTACTCTCAAGGTCGGCCAAACTAGCAGGGTCCTGTTTGTGAGATCAAATAATTAGCGTGTTTGTAAAGTCATGTCAGCTCCTATTGTTCCTGTTGATACTTTCCAAAAGCCACGGGCAACAGCAAATAAATGCAGTTGTTATAATTAGGCACCGTATTTCTTGATATGTAACCTGTTGGCTGCCTGTTTAGACTGAAATAAGAGTGACAAGAGCATATGGTGGGAGTGCAGAAATGCTAGTGCAACATCTGGGGCAGCGGGAAGAAGTCTGCCATCGATCTCAGTTCAAGGTGGTGTAGAAACAGAATGGATTTAATGTATCTGAGGTAATTTGGAGCAGAGGGTGGATGTACATTTGGAAGGAGAATATGGAAGCGGGGAGAAGCAGAAGGCAGGCGGAGGCTTGTAATTGTTAATGGATGCAAACGGTGTGTGGAGTAATTGGCTACATGTGGAGTGGGGGAATCCTTTATAAACTGTTCTGACGGTATAAACAACTCAATAAATGTTTTAGGGAATAGTAAGTCAAATTTTAATATGCAAAAGGATGGCCTCCAGTACATTTGCCATATCAACTCTTTACATATTGCAAGCCGGTTTCTTGTCCAGGTCTGCTTCCTTTTGAGACTGTGGCCGTGTTGAAAGGATTGTAAAGCGGTGACTTGTATGGAGGCATCAGTCTCTGCTTTATTAATAAAAGAATATTTGTACATGTTATGTACAAATATTCTCATTAGTCTAGCTATCAGCTTTTATACCACTATCAGCCAGTTAGCTTAGTTTACAGACTGGAAATGGGGAGCAAAACCTTGCCTAGCTTAGCAATATCCAATGGTAATAAACTCCGCTAATATCAAGGATATATCCCCTGCTGTTTGGTTCTCTATGTACACATGTATATAGGGAAGGCACGTTTATTTTAATAGCACATTTCAACACAAGACCATTTTAAAGTGCTTCACAAGAATGAAAACCAAACATTAAAAGCATTAAGATATAGTGCAACAGAAACACATTATAAAATGACATTGGAATACAGCTTAAGTGAGTGTTAATCAAATATCTCTGGTTCATAGCAAAGATCTAAAAGTGATGCTCAGTGCTTGGAATCAAATAAGGGTTGGTTCATCCTCATTTAAAACCTTTTGCATCATCTACTGTTAGTTCTGGTTTATTCAAGCTTTGAGATATTCAGAATGATTGTAGTTAAATACTCACAGCAATGGACAGTGTTTTGTCCTGCTTCCCTGTTGACTAACAAATAAATAGTCACAGATAAAGGAACAAGGACATTGTTGTGAAAATGCTTGTAGCTGTTAATAATTTTAATCCAAATGTTTCCACGCTGTGAGCACAAGGTTGTATTTTTGGGTGGGGGCAAATATCATAGAGACATATATACAAAGGTTTCTGCACGGCTAGACATTACTCGAGAGAAGTTGCACACAAACAAAAGTAAAACCCTTAGTTTTGAATCCTGGACAGAATTCAAGATACATTCAAAGTAAACTTATAAATAATGAATGAAAATGACTTCACGTTGGAGACATGAATATGAAAATACCTGCAGATATCAAACATTAGTCTGGTGCCAAAACTGCGCTGAAACCTCTCAGAG